GGTGTTGAAGATCTCACCCTCCTGGTGTCTGGGCTTCCGCAGCTTCTTCTTAAAGTAAGAATCAGTGAGGTGTTTGGGGATTTTCATTTTGCTGATAGCAATTTTTGTAGAGGTGGCAGTGACAAATCTCTGGCATGTTCTCCGTAAAGGAACACTATTAAGGCTAAGAGGCCCAGTCACAAGTAGCAAGCCACTGGCCAACCATGTCAGGAAGACCACTCTCTTGCCTCTGTGACGACCGGTGAGGATGATCAAGATGGTACTGACAGTGATGCTAGCTTGAAGTTTCCTCACATGCTGACTGAAGGGCTCCTTGCCATGGCTCAAGAGCTTTCGGGGCACATCTTCAGGAGGGAAGTAGCTAAGCATTTTTCAAAGCTTAACCACCGGGTACCTTCATTCTTGTCTGCACCAACTGGTTTTTTGATTGTAACAAGAACTTTCCCCTTTTTCTTCTCCATCTTCAATTCAGTAGCTGTGTCTTTTCTCTTGTACAAAACCTTTCTGGAACACATAGCAGACTGAGAGTATCTACCAATTCCTCTAACAAGGACAGGATTTTGGCTGCAGTGCGGCTGCCCCTTCTTGGACTTTTTTTTTTTGCCTTCCTCTTACCCTTTTTACCAGTACCACTGGCAGCAGCCTTCTTGGTTCCAGATTTCTTCTCTTTAGTGTCTGACTTCTCAGTTTTTTCAGTCACCATCTTGCAAAATGGGAAAGAGTCTAGTAAGCCTTTGTATGGTGTGTGTGTGTGTGTGTGTGTGTGTGTGTGTGTGTGTGTGTTGGAACTCATGACCTCATGTTTACCAAGCACATGCTGTGCTACTGAGTTACATCTCTGGTCCACTTTCTGGTAATCCTTTATTGAATGGATTCACAATTGCCATCTAAATTCTGCTAGGGTAGCTTTTCAAATAAATCAAAATAATAATCGTAGGAAAAAGAATGAGTATAAAAACTGGGATGTACCTTATCTTTGACAAAGGGGCCAAACATACTCATTGGAAGAAAGATAGCCTCTTTAACAAA